AACAGATGCTGGAGAGGATGTGGAGAAAAAGGAACACTTTTACACTGTTGGTGGGAGTGTAAATTAGTTCAACCATTGTGGAAGACAGTGAGACAATTCCTCAAGGCCTTAGAAATAGAAATTCCATTTGACCCAGCAATCCCATTACTGGGTATATATCCAAAGGACTATAAATCGTTCTACTATAAGGACACATGCACACGAATGTTCACTGCAGCACTGTTTACAATAGCAAAGACCTGGAATCAACCCAAATGCCCATTGATGATAGACTGGATTGGGAAAATGTGGCACATATACACCATGGAATATTATGCAGCAATCAGAAATGATGAGTTTGTGTCGTTTGTGGGGACATGGATGAATCTGGAGAACATCATTCTCAGCAAACTGACACAAGAACAGAAAATGAAACACCGCGTATTCTCACTCATAGGCGGGTGATGAAAAATGAGAACACATGGACACAGGGAAGGGAGTACTAAACACTGGGGTCTATTGGGGGGAAAGGGGGAGGGCCAGTGGGAGGGGGAGGTAGGGAGGGATAGCCTGGGGAGAAATGCCAAATGTGGGTGAAGGGGAGAAAGGAAGCAAAACACACTGCCATGTGTGTACCTATGCAACTGTCTTGCATGTTCTGCACATGTACCCCAAAACCTAAAATGCAATAAAAAATTTAAAAAAAAAAAAAAAGAAAGGAAAAAAAAGAGAACTACAAGTGAGATAGGGAAAGAACGGGGTGGTCCAAGATCACTCTCAAGAGCTCACTGTCCTGCAAAGTCCTCTCTTTTTCTTAGTCTAAGTTTTGCCAATCTTACTCCTATTTTTCAAAAGACAATTCTTAGTGTCTCTCATCTTTCCAATTGTTTTCCTCATCTCGGTTTCTTTGTTGACTTTGGGTTTAGTTTGTTCTTTTTCCATTTCTCTTAGGTGTAAAGTTAGGCTATTTTGTGAGATCTTTCCTTTCCTTTTTCTTTTTTTTTAGATGGAGTCTCACTCTGTCATCTAGGCTAGAGCGCAGTGGCAAATCTCCACTCACGGCAACCTCAGCCTCCTGGGTTAGAGAAACTCTCCTGCCTCAGCCTCCTGAATAGCTGGGATTACAGGCATGCACCACCATGCCCAGCTAATTTTTGTATTTTTAGTAGACACGGGTTTTTGCCATGACCAGGCTGATCTCAAACTCCTAACCTAAGTGATCCACCCACCTCAGCCTAAAGTGCTGGGATTACAGGCATGCGTCACCATGCCCAGCCTCTTTTTTCTTAATGTAGGCATTTATAGCTATAGACTTTCCTCTTAGAACTGCTTTTGCTGTATCCCATAAGAATTTCATTCCATACTCCACACCAAATATAAATATCAACTCCAGATGAACTATAGACCTAACATAAAAGTAAAACTATAGAATATCTAGAAGAAAATCTGTTGCCTTGGGTTAGGCAAGGATAGGATCCCAAAATCATGACTTAGAAAAGAAAAAGATGGTAAGCTGGACTTCATCACAATGAATAACTTCTGCTCTTCAAAAAATACTGGTAACAGACTGCAAAGATAAGCTACAAACTGGGAGAAAATACCTGCATATTTTCTATCAGATATAGGACTTGTATTCAGAATATATGAATAATACTCAAAATTCAATAAGGACTCTTTATTTCCATAGTTTTGTGGGTACAGGTGCGTTTTGGTTACATGGATAAGTTCTTCAGTGGTGATAACTGAGATTCTAGTGCACCTGTCACCTGAGCAGTATACACTGTACCCAATATGTAGCCTTTTATTTTTGCTCCCCTCCCAACCTTCTCCCCACCAAGTCCCCAAAGTCCAGTGTATCATTCTTATGGCTTTGTATTCTCATAGCATAGCTCCCACTTGTGAGAACACGATATTTGATTTTCTATTTCCGATATAAATATCATCTGAAGTTGATATTTATATTTGGTGTGGAGTATGGAATGAAATTCTTATGGGATACAGCAAAAGCAGTTCTAAGAGGAAAGTCTATAGCTATAAATGCCTACATTAAGAAAAAAGAGGCCGAGCGTGGTGACGCATGCCTGTAATCCCATTACTTCATTTAGACTAATGGCCTCCAAGTCCATCCAAGTTGCTGCAAAAGACGTATTTCATTATTTATGCCTGAGTAGTATTCCATGGTATGTATATACATATATATATATATATATACATATCACATTATCTTTATCCATTTGGTTGATGGCCACTTATGTTAATTCCATATCTTTGCAATTACTAGTTGTGCTGCCGTATACATGCATGTACATGTGTCTTTTTATATGATGACTTCCTTTTCATTGGGTAGACACCCAGTAGTGGGATTGCTGGATCAAATGATGGTTCTACTTTTAGTTCTTTAAGGAATCTCCATATTGTTTTCCATAGCAGTTGTACTAATTTACATTCCCACCAGCAGTGTAAAAGTGTTCTCTATTCACTGCATCCATGCCAACGACGATTGCTTTTTGACTTCTTAATTACGGCCATTTTTGCAGGAGGAGTAAGGTGGTATCTCAGTGTGCTTTTCACTTGCAATAATTAGTGGTGTTGGGTGTTTTTTCATATGCCTGTTGGCCATTTGTACATCTTCTTTTGGGAATTGTCTATTCATGTCCTTTTGCCCCTTTTCGATGGGATTATTTTTTTTTTTTTTCTTGCTGATTTTAGTTTCTTGTAGATTCTGAATACTAGTCCTTTGTTGGGTGCATAGTTTATGAATATTTTCTCCCACTATGTGGGTTGTCTGTTTTCTCTGCTGATTATTTATTTTGCTGTGCAGAAGATTTTTAGTTTAATTAAGTCCCATTTATTTATTTATATTTTTATTGCATTTGCTTTGGGGTTTTAGTCATGAATTTTTTGTATAAGCCAATGTCCAGAAAAGTTTTTCTGATGTTATCTTCTAGAATGTTTATGGTTTCAGGTCTTAGATTTAAGTCTTTGATCTATCTTGAGTTGATTTTTGTATAAGGTGAGAGATGGAGATCCAGTTTCATTCTTCTGCGTGTGGCTCACCAGTTTTCCCAGCACCATTTATTGAATAGGGTGTGCTTTCCCCAATTTGTTTCTGTGTGCTTGTCGAAGATCAGTTGGCTGTACGTATTTGGGTTTATTTCTAGGTTCTCTATCCTGTTCCATTGGTGTATGTGCCTGTTTTTATGCCAGTACCACGCCATTTTGGTAAATAGAGATTTGTAGTACAGTTTGAAGTCAGGTTTCGTGATGCCTCCAGATTTGTTCTTTCTGCTTGGCATTGCTTTGGCTACTAGGATCTTTTTTGCTTCCATATGAATTTTAGGGTTTGTTTTCTTCTAGTTTTGTGAAGAACGATGATGATATTTGTATGAGAATTGCACTGAATCCATAGGATGCTTTGGATAGTACATTTTCACAATACTGATTCTTCCCACCCATGAGCATGGGATGTGTTTCTGTTTGTTTGTGAAATCTATGATTTCTTTCAGCACTGTTTTGTAGTTTTCCTCATAGAGATCTTTCACCTCCTTCGTTAAGTATATTCCTAAGTATTTTATGTTATTTTATTTATTTATGTTTGCAGCTGTTGTAAAGGTGATTGAGTTCTTGATTTGAATCTCAACTTGATTGTTGTTGGTGTATGGCAATCCTACTGATTTTGAAACCTGAGACTAAATTCGTTTATCAGATCTAGGAGTTTTGGATGAGTCTTTAGGGTTTTCTAGGTATACAATGATATCATTGGCAAACACCAAGAGTTTGACTTCTTCTTTTCCAATTTTGATGCCCTTTATTTCTTTCTCTTGTCTGATTGCTCTGGCTAGCACTTCCAGTCCTATGTCGAATAGAACAGAACAGAAGTGGTAAAAATGGGCATCCTTGCCTTTTTCCAGTTCTCAGAGGGAATGCTTTCAACTTTTCCCCATTTCGTATAATGTTGGCTGTGGGTTTGTCATATATGCTTTTAATACTTTGAGAACTCATTTTTTAATGCAAAAGATTTGACCAAACACCACAATGAAAATGATGTAAATATGGCCAGTAAGCACGTGAAAAGATGCAAAGCATCATTAGTTACTAGGAAAATGCAGATTAACACTAAAATAAGACCCCATTACATGCTCATTTGTAATAAAGTATCTGACTCCAATTTTGATTTTGGTAGCTAATAGCTTTGAAGCACACCTCTCTGTCTCCTGCCAAACAACTGGGAAAGCTGATGAGAAAACTGGTGTTCCCTTCTTTAATGCCAGTGGGAAGTTTAGACTGTACAACCCTGACCTATGTTTAAGAATCTTCACTTCTTCACCTACCTCTTAATCACCACTGAATCCCTAAGCCAGTCTCCTTCCCTTGCTCTCTCAAGCCATTTTCTTTGTTGCTGTTTTTGAGATGGGAGTCTCACTCTGTCACTCAAGCTGGAGTGCAGTGGGACAGTCACAGCTCACTGCAGCCTCAACCTCCCTGGCTCAAGTGATCCTCCTGCCTCAGCTTCTTGAGTAGCTGGGACCACAGGCACATGCCACCAAGCCTGGCTAATTTTTAAAAATTATTATTTGTAGGCCAGGCGAGGTGGCTCACCCCTGTAATCCCAATGCTTTGGGAGGCTGAGGCAGGAGGATCAATTCAGCTCAGGAGTTCAAAACCAGCCTGGGCAACATAACAAAATCCTGTCTCTATTAAAATTAAGAAAAATTAACCAGACATGGTGGTGTGTGCCTGTAGTCCCAGCTACTTGGGGGCTGAGGCAGAAGGACTGCTTGAGCTATGGAAATTGAAGCTGCAGTGAGCCCTGATCATGCCACTGCACTCCAGCATGGGCGACAGAGACCCTGTCTCAAAAAAATAAAATTATTTGCGGAGACAAGGTCTCACTCTGTTTCCAAGGGTGGTCTTGAACTCCTGGGCTCAAGCAAGGTGTTTGCCTTAACCTCCCAAAGTGCTGGGATTACAGCCCTGAGCCAATCCACCTGGCCTCTCAAGCCATTTCCTTTTTCTTTTTTTAAAATATGGAATGCTTCACGAATTTGCCTGTCATTTTGTTCAGGGCCTATACTAATCTTCTCTATATCACTCCAATTTTAGTACATGTGCTGCTGAAGCAAGTTTTCAAACCATTTTCCAACCAGCTGGGAAGCCTTCCCTGATCTTCTCAGAGACTCATTATATAATAAATCCTTTCACATCTTTTGGGGTGTGTGTGTGTGGGGGGGCATTATCAATGTTGGATTCTGGGTGAGGGTCCATTCTTCTTAAAAAGAATGACTATAACATCATTAAATGGCAAAAATGTAAAAGCCTGACTATATTAAATGTTGGTGAAGGTGAGGAGGAAGTGGAACTATTTATATACATATCATAAGAACGTGAAGTTTAAAACCACTTTGGAAAACAATTTGACAATTTTTTGAAAAGCCAAATATATATCTACTGTGTGATGCATTACTTCCATTCTTAGGCATGTGCCCAAGAAAAAGGAAGCATATGTTCATATAAAGACTTGTATACGATCAGTCACAGCAGCTTTATTTATAACACCCCCAAACTGGAAACAACCCAAATGATTCATAAAATGGAACACTATTCGGCAATAAAAGATTGAACTATGCTATTATTGTGTCACTACATTCCAGCCTAAGTGACAGAGCAAGACCCTGTCTCAAACTAACAGAAAAACCCCAAAAGACTAAACTATCAATATATGCAAAAACATGAATGAAACTCAAATTAATTATGCAGATTCAAAGAAGCCAGACAGAATACATACCGTATCTTCCCTTTATAACATTTTTTTAGAATATACAAATATCTATGGTTATAGCAAGCAGGTAAGTGCTTGCGTAGGGCCTGGGTTGGGAATGAAGCACAGCCAGAAAGGAAAAAGAGGGAGGGATACAAAGATGCATCATGAAGGCCTTGGAAGTGACAAACATATTTAGTATCTTGATTTTGGTGATCGGTGTACATGTCAGAACTTACACTATTGTACATTTTAGATATGCAGTTTCCAATATGCCAATTATACTCAATTTGAAAAAAGGAAATAATTTCATGGCAAGTTATTGTTGATAGAAAAGAGCTTCATCCATGGTATCCATAGGGATGGTAAAAATAAATCAATACAAAAAAAAAAAAGAAAAGAGCTTCAGGGACTGTTTCCTGGGCATTTCAGACACCTCCTATCATATGGTATTCTCTTAAATTTCCTTCTTTTTTCTCTGAATTCCATCTACCTCTTTCTTGATTTGCACTTTCATTTTGATGAAGATACCCCTCAGTGACATAGAAAGGGTAGTTTATTGTAAAAATATTTATTCCAGCATTAACTTATGACAGTTTGACTAGCTACAGAATTCCAGGTTAGAATTACTTCTCCAACAGAACTTTGAAGGCATTGACCATTATCTTGCTACTCCATGCTGATGTTAACAAGATCAAACCTATTCTGCTTCCTGATATATTCCTTTTCATATGTCCTTTGGTTTCCTTGTACATAATCTTTCCTTCTCTCCCCATCCGACATCTCCTTGGAGACCTACAGAATCTTCTAATTGCACCCATCACAGTTCGTGGTAATGTGCTTCAGTGTGAACTTATTTTTACACATTGTGCTGCTTATTCAGTCACTTCTGTTAACTTGACAGTTCATATCCTTCAATTCTGAAAAATTTTTTTGTTGATGATTTCCTCTATTATTCAGATTTTGGACCTACTGTTCTGCTCCTTTGCTTTTTCTTTTTTGTTTTCTCTCTCCTATTATCTTTAATTTGGGGGAGGTAAAATTTCCTTTATCCACCAGTGCTTATATTACGTTTTAAAAATTTCATTATATTTCACTTTTCAAGAATCTTTTTGTTCTGAGTGTTTACTATGTATGAATCTGTTCTCTAATGGATGCATGTATTCACTTGTCTCTCCCAAGTATATTAGGAAAAGTTTTCATCTTTGAGGGGCTCTTGCTCCCGTATAGTTTCTATCCTTCGAGTTTGTTTTGGTTTCTTCCATGTTAAGAGGCTCTTCTCAGATATCAAGTGCATTATTTCTCTATTGCTGCACAAACTCTCAGAAACTTAGTGGCTTAAAATACCACAAATTCATTATCTTACAGTTCTGGAGGCCAGAGAGCCTAAAATCAGAGTGTTGGAGAAGCTATACTCCTATGAAGAACGTTTATCTGATGTGCCCATAATCATTTTTTTAAAAGTCTGTTTTGGAGCATCAATGATGGTTACATAATACTTGCCGGTCTCCAGTTTCCACAGGGGTTATCAGTGGTGAGACTACGCTTACATTCAGCTTTCAGTTTTTACAAGACTCAGACATACTTGAAGGAGCCCTTTTCTACCTTGGCAGCCTCCCCCTCAATTTTTTTGATGGTTCTTTTGTTGATCAGATGCTGGGCTTACCTGAATCTACATGTCAAATGACAGTAATGTTGATATGATTCTTTGCTATTCCCATTTTGGCCTTAACCCATTTATGCCAAAGGTTGCAAATTTTTGGGGGTGGGGGAAAATCAGACTTTGGCAATGACCTTGAGCAGTAGGATATAATTAACTCCCACAAGTTTAGAGTTCCAATAATGGAACACTAGGCATAAATGCGTTAATTTAGTGTACTTATACGTTGGTGGCAAACTTCTTGTGAATAAAGCACTCACAGTCTCCTTTTGGCTGGAACCGATATCCCTGACTTCTTGTTGGCTGTCAGCAGAAATTGCTCTCAACTTTTAGAAGCCACCCTCAGGTCCTAGCCATACGGCCCTCTTAAACATGAAGTTTACTTCTTCAAAGCCAGCAGGAATTTCTCTCTCCAGCCTCCTAAGAAGGAGTCATATTATATAACATAATCACAGGAATAATTATACCATCACCTTTGCAATTTAATGCAACCCAATCAAGGGAATGAGTATTCCATCAAATTCAGATTGCAATCACAATCATGGGGAGGAGATTTTCCAGGATGTGTGCTCCAGAGGATAGAAGTCTCAAGAGGTCATTAAAGAATCATGCCTAAAACATCATGCATTGGTTTGAATCTTTCTTTTAGAAAAAGAAGTTTAGGCCAGGCCTGGTGGCTCACGCCTGTAATCCCAGCACTTTGGGAGGCCGAGGCAGGTGGATCATGAGGTCAAGAGATCGAGACCATCCTGGTCAACATGGTGAAACCCTGTCTCTATTAAAAATACAAAAAGTTAGCTGGGCACGGTGGCGCGTGCCTGTAATCCCAGCTACTCAGGAGTCTGAGGCAGGAGAATTGTCTGAACCCAGGAGGTGGAGGTTGCGGTGAGCCGAGATTGTGCCATTGCACTCCAGCCTGGGTAACAAGAGCGAAACTCCGTCTCAAAAAAAAAGAAAAAGAAGTTTAAAGATTTAGAATGGAAGTTGAGCTCCTAAATTTGTCTTGTTGCCATTTTCTCAATACCTTTAAAAATCAGTAGCTAAGAACACGAGAGGATAGGGAAAGAAAGTAATGTTTATTGATTACCAAGTATATACCAGGGATTGTGCTAGGTCCTTTACGTTACAGTTTATTTAATGTCAGAAAAGAACTACATTTGAACCAAGGAGGTACTATAAGAAATATGTAACCAAATGGTAAGTACAGGTAAGAAAATAGACATCATAGACTGGACAAAGAAAATGTGGCATGGAATACTACATAGCCATAGAAAATGATGAGTTTGTGTCCTTTGTAGGGACTTGGATGAATCTGGAAACCATCACCCTCAGCAAAATGACACAAGAACAGAAACTCAAACACTGCATGTTCTCACTCATAGGCGGGTATTGAACAATGAGAACATGTGGACACAGGGAGTGGAGCATCACACACTGGAGTCAGTTGCAGGGGGCTAGGGGAGGGACAGCAGGGGGTGGGGAGGGTGGGCAGGGATAACATGGGGAGAAATGCCAGATACAGATGATGAGGGAATGGAGGCAGCAAACCACCTTGCCATGTATGTACCTATACAACAACCCTGCATGATCTACACATGTACCCCACAACCTAAAGTACAATTAAAAAAATAAAAAAGAAAGAAAATTAGACAGTAACAATCATTAATTTGAAAAGCTAAATCTAGTATTTTGAAAATTTCCTGAAAGTATGATCGGGTATGATTTTGATGGGCCTGGAAAACAAGTTCTCTACATTTCCCAGTGAAATTTAAACATTTTTTCTTTTTAAAGCAAACCAGATTTTAGTTGCACAGAATTAAAAACAGACTGTATTATGTAACTAAATTTAATGTCCTAGAGTATTTTCTCCTAAATCATGCTGCACATATTTTATTAATCTATGAATAAAATCTATTCCAGGATGGTACTGTACATATTTTATCACAGTCAAATCTTTCTTCATCTAGAAGATCAAATATAGCTAATGTTGCTTCGAAAATGGGAAGTACAAAAAGCTTTAGAATTAAGAAATATTTTAAACCACATTTAGATTCAAATATTGTTTGATACAACTTTTATCCGGAAGCATCAAGAAGCTGGAAATTCTGTCATCCAGAGGAATCAAAATAAAAACATCAAATAATTTCAGTTCTTCATATAATTTTATAAAATATTTAAAGACTTGAATTAAGGTCTCTGATAATACAATTGTGCCAGAATGTATTTAGCAAATTAAAAATATGAGTTGAAAATTAACTCAAAATAATGACAGCAATTTTCGTTAATTCTGTTACTAAACAAATGTAGGCTACTGAAAGTAGCTGAAAAACTACAAAAATAAAAGTCATAGAAATAACTGACTCATACAAACACCTAAATTATTTCACCCATGTAAAAAATACACTAAAATGTTTTTTCATGAATAAGATATCCTAAAAATAACATATGCCTAAAGTTCAAAAGAGACTTTTTTCTAAACTCATAAATCATAAAATTTTTAAGAAGCATTTGGCCTAAAATGCTCTATTCTTGATCTCAACCCAGGTAAGTATTTTGGAAAACTGAAAGAAAAATTGCATTTCATAGTTGTTTGAGGTATCTCAATGTGGATGGGAAAAAAAGATATTTTTCTCCTTCCTATTTGGGCATTTTGTGCCCATATTCACACATGGCACAAATTTAAACTTTAAATTCGCATGTACAAA